TTGGAATTTTTCTCCTCTGCGTCTGTCCGTCTGTCCATCTGCCTGCTTGCTCGTGCATGTGCGTGTGTGTGCATGTACGTGTGTGTGTGTGTATGTTCATGGCTGCCCATGTGTGTCCCTCCTTTGGACACAGTCTTACTATACAGCCTAGACTGGTCCTTTGCCTCCTGAGTTCTTGAACCATAGGTATACACAACTGTGTACAGTGTTGATTTTTTGTTGTGTGAGAAAGACAACTGTGGCTTGTCAGCATTTGCGTTTGATGAAGCTGAGAGATTCTGTGTGTTAGAATTCCTTTAAGCTAGCCGGTTGCTCTCACCCACTTTTAGCATGGTACTCAGGATACAGGCTTTCAACAGGCCCAGTGAGGCTTATCTTGTTACCAAGAGGGCGTCACTAAAGTCCCAGGGACTTAGGACCAGGTAGGTAAGACATCAGACCTGGGGGAAATAGAGGTAAACAGGTAGACAGGACTCAGGGCCCAACCTAACCCATCCCCAACTTACTGGAACAGTTCCACCATCCTTTCTGGGGCAGCTGTTTGGCCCTGGGTCACAGTTAGCAAGAAGTTACTGTGGGACTTGGGGGCGTGTTTGTCACATAAGCAAGAGGTCCTCAAAACCCATGTTTGTTTGTTGTTATTTGTTTTTAAAGCTGACAGTGGTGGTGCATATTATAGTCCTAGCACCGGGGAGATAAACAGAGGCCGATCCCTGGGGCTCACCGGCCCGCCAGTGTAGCTAGTGCGAGACCCTGTTTTAAAAAGGATAGACAGGGTGGATGGCTCTGGAGGAACAAAGCCTGAGGTTGTCTTCTAGCCCCTGCACACACGAGCACACAAAGTTACTTAGCACTGGGCCCTGTTCTTTGTATATATTTGTGATCTAATCCTCACATAATAAAGAGGTGGAGGAAATGGGAAAGAATGGCAGAGCTACACCACAAAGCTGGGTGCTGTGTGTGTGTGTGTGTGGTGGCAACAGAGGCCAGAAAGGGCCATCAGATCCCCTGGGACTGGAGTTACAGGCAGTTGTAAGATGCCACGTGGGTGCTGAGAACTGAACCCAGGTCCTCTGCAAGAGCAGCCAGTGCTCTTAACTGCCCAGCCTCCCTCCAGCATTCTTCTTTTTCTCCTTTTCTCCCCCCCCCCCCCACACACACATTCTGTAGCGCTGGGAAACAAACTAAGGACCTTGTGCATGCTAGGCAAGCATGCTAATGTCCTCCAAACAGAGCCAATGCTTTCGATCCCTGATCTTCTTCCTCCTAATTGGCATGGAGTCATACACACTTACTCTCATTCTGACTTCCTGTTTATACCCTATATTGATGTGGGTAGTTTGTTCTGGTTTTTTTTTAAGTAATTTTTTAACATTTATTTTTATTATGTATACAATATTCTGTCTGTGTGTATGCCTGCAGGCCAGAAGAGGGCACCAGACCTCATTACAGATGGTTGTGAGCCACCATGTGGTTGCTGGGAATTGAACTCAGAACCTTTGGAAGAGCAGACAATGCTCTTAACCTCTGAGCCATCTCTCCAGCCCTTGTTCTGGTTTTTAAGATGTATTTTTGTAAGCTGGTGTGTGTGTGTGTGTGTGTGTATCTGGACATGTGCACATGCATGCATGCATGCATATATTTATGCAAGTACCCACAGAGGCCAGAGGTGCTGGACTCCCCTGGAGCTGGAGTTAGTGATTATGCGCTGCCTGACATGAGTGCTGGGAATTGAGCTCGGGTACTCTGGAAAGAGCAGTCTGTGCTCTTACCTGCACAGCAGTCCTCTCCATCTCCCTGCAGGTGAGTGTTGTCAACCTGACATGATCTAGAATTACCCAGGAAGGGAGTTTCACCGATGGATTGTCTAGATTAGCTTGGCCTGTGAGCACATCTTTTGAAGGGTCATTTTGTTTTTGTTTTTTTTTAAAAAAGATTTATTTATTTATTATGTGTGCAGCATTCTTTCCATGTGTGCCTGCATGCCAGAAGGGGGGCCACAGGTCAAGCATGTTGCCTAGTGTTAGTAGGTTCTCAAGTGGATGCTGAGTGTGTCCATCCAGAGTGAGTGTGGAATTTCCACAGCTGTACTTGGTCCGGAAGCGCTCTTGTCAGCACTGGGTTTTGTGGCATTGACCGATGTCTCGTTTAGAGGTTGAGAAAAGAGGCCCTAAGACTTCGGCTGCAGATGTATTGCATGGTGGCCAAGGGCACAGGCCCCACCCACATAGACCTGTCCACCTGCAGGGTGGCTCTGCCTCAGGACAAGGAAAGGACTCCCCTCTCAGTTGCCAACTTCTCCAGGACTAGATTAGTTCTACATAGGATGACCATGGAGTGTAACTCTACAAACTTGTCCTTCAGCCTCAGAGCTGGAAGACTTCCCTCGCATGTTTATTTCGTCAGCGTTTTCTACGTGCCCTTCACTGTGGCTTCAGTGTTCCCTCAGCCTCCTCTTCCCCTTCTGTGCTCATCACTGTTCATTACTGAAGGTTTGGTTTTGCTATGTGGCCCAGATTGGTACCAAATTGTAATTCTGTATTGGCCTCCCAAGTGGGATTAGAGACGGCACCATCACCGCTGACCACCTCTCCTGAGAAGCCTTCCTCCACGTGGTGGTCAGGGCTTCTTTTTATTTGAAGGTACCAGGAACTTAATTCCGAAGAGATACAGTGAAAGAGAAAAATGAGCAGAACCCATAATTTTTTTATAGGCAAATATGTCTGCTTATAGACCCAGCTCTTTGGAGACAGAGACAGGAGGATCCTGAGTTCAAAGCCAGCCTGGACTACTTATGAGACCCTTTCTCAGAAAATAAAAATATTAAGCCAGGCATTGGTGTACTCCTGTAATCTCAGCACTGGGGAGGCGGAAGCAGGTGAATCTCTGTGAGTTCCTGGTCTACAGAGTAAGTTCCAGGACAGTCAGGGTTACACAGATAAACCCTGTCTTGAAAAGACAAAACCTAACTAAATATAGAAATAGAAGATACCAGCGAAGTTAGGCCATGTGGCTTTGGAAGGTCAAAAGTAGCTGGGCTGGAGGAGTTCCCACGTTACCCACAGCCGGGTGTTACCCCTTCTGTTGGTGCCCTCATCATTCTCCCAGCGTTGCTCTTCCTCAAGACAGGAAACCTGGCTGTGAGCCACCTTCATGCCCCACACAGCCTCAGAGGAACTTGTTTCTGTTTACTTCCAAGACCTGAAGAAGAGTCTTTTGACCAGTCGACAATGGTCAACAGGGCCCTGTGCTGTAGGGCGGAGTCTGGGAGGGGCTGGAGATGTAGCTCAGTGGTGGTTGGCTGGGTAAGTGCAAGGTCATGGTTTCTGTCTTTAGTAACACCCGGCACCAACACCTTTTCCCTAAACACCCTCCCCCCCCCACACACACACTATATCGTCTTTAGAGCTCACACCTGCATTTCAGACCACAGATGTAAATAGGGAATTATGCTCTTCTTCCAGTGGGGTATCAGGCACATTGTCGAAGTTTTGACCTTGTGATTCCTTGGAGCAAATGGAGTCCTGAGAAGGACGGGTCACTGAGGAAACGCTTGGCTGGTTTATGTGTGTTATGTGAGAGACTGGCTACTTGAGACGGAAACTTCCAGATGCCACCAGTATGCTTTTTCCCCTCCCACACTTGCTCCAAATTTTTAGTTTAACGGAGAATAGGATTAGGTTTCTCAGTCTCCTTGCTCTTACTTAGCCAAGAGATGATATTTTAGACATTGGGATATGAACATACTATGCCTGTGTTGCATGAAGCGTCTTTGGAGGTGGGTGGTGCCCTTTCCTTATCTGGGCCCTGAAATATAGAGGAAGGCTGCCGTCAGAACAGCTGCCTTATACTTAGAGACAGAGGCGGAGGCGAAGGTGATTGAGGAACAATACAGAGGGAGCACAGAGCTGTCAGTCTGCATAGATCCGTGTGAGGAAAACTAAGTTCTACGTATTTAAGTCTACTATTTTGGTTTTGTGTTTTACAACCAATACCTAATGCTATACTGTCACCTGTAGGTGGGAACAGCTGATCAGTAGCAATGGAAAGGCCTGTTGGTAGATGACCTAAGCCCCTGCTACCTGTAAGCATCCGCTGCTTGGTTTTCTCATCTCACTGGTCCAAGGGATGTTGGCTTTTTGCCTTTGTTGACCGACTTTCCGGAGCATTTCTGTCCTTTTTGGACCCCTAGAGCAGGAATCTGAACCTGGGTAAAACTGTTACCACCTGGCCAGGTCCCACCACACTTTGTTACCCTGCCCTCATATCAAGAGGCTTCTAGCTGAAGAGGTGGCCCAGTGGCTAGGAGCACTGACCACTTTCCAGAGAGCTGGGTTTGATGTCTAGCCAGCCACATGGCCGCTCACACTAACTCCAGTTCTGGAAGGGGAGGATCCGCTGACCTCTTCTGGCTTCTTCATATGCAGACATATGGGCAAGAAAACATCCATCCGTAGATAATCAAATTCTGCTGAGCATTGTAAGGTACACCTTTAATCCCGGCACTCAGGAGGCAGATGCAGGCAGATCTCTCTTGAGTTTGAGGCTAGCCTGATCTACATAGCAAATTCCAGGCCAGTCAAGGCTACATAGACTATTTCAAAACAAAAACAAAATAAACCAAATGCTTCTATAGGTTTTGACCAATAGAGGTTATTCACTGTATACTATGGGCTGGAGCAGTGGTTCTCAACCTATGGGCTGTGACCCCTTTGGGGGCTGTATATCAGATATTTACATTATGATTCATAACACTAACAAAATTAGGCATAAAGCAGCAATGAAAATGATTCTGTTAATAATAACTCTAGGGGGCTGGAGAGATGGCTCAGTGGTTAAGAGCACTGCCTGCTCTTCCAAAGGTCCTGAGTTCAATTCCCAGCAACCACATGGTGGCTCACAACCATCTGTAATGAGGTCTGGTGTCCTCTTCTGGCCTGCAGACATACACACAGACAGAATATTGTATACATAATAAATAAATAAATATTTTAAAAAAAAATAATAACTCTATTGATAGATTCAGCTGAGAGAGCTGTCAGGGCTGATCCCATCTCTTGCTCCCACCTCCTCCCCAGAGTTCCCAAAGACTGGTCCCCTTCACCGGCTTGGGCTGCATCTTTTATTTCGCATAATAGCCTCTGGAGCATTGCTGTTCTCTAGCTTGAAGTCTCGTGGCTGGAGTGCGTCTCTGGGCTCAGCACCTGCCGTTCTTTATGATCTGGATGTCCTCTTTTGTTTTTCTAGCACCAGAGAAGATAAGGATGAGGCCATTAACTGTGGGAACTATAAGGGTAGAAGCCAGGCCCAGCCCATCCTCCCTGCTGAGCCCCTCCTGGAAATGTCCAGCTACAGAGAGGTGTCAGGGATCTAAGCGTACATAACCCTATAAACTGACCCTCTTAAACCTGAGGACTTTCAGCTTACTGATGTCTCAACTGCCACTGCTTGCTGATGGCTGCCGTGTTGCAAGGATCCACTAGTTGGTTCTGGCCACTTAGCCCCAAAATAATCACACAGAAACCGTATTATTTAAATCACTGCTTGGCCCGTTAGCTCTAGCTTCTTATTGGCTAACTCTTTTCTATTATTAATTTAACTCATTTCTATTAATCTGTATATCACCATGAGGTCGTGGCCTACCAGCAAAGTTTCAGCACGTCTATCTCCAGCAGCTCCATGGCGTCTAACTCTGCCTTTGTTCTCTCAGCATTCAGTTCCATCTTCCCTGCCTAGCTCTGTTCTGCCTTTGCTATAGGCTCAAAGCAGTTCTTTATTCATTAACCAATAAAGGCAACACATGGACAGAAGGACCTCCCACATCACTGCCAAACCTCTGTCCTACCTGTTTTTGCACCTATTGCATGGCCCCACCAAGATATACCAGGGACCAGCATCCATAGTCATCACTGCCTCCCAGAACTGCCCTTGTAGCCCCATCTTAGCCACCCGAGGCCGTAAGTGAATATGTTACTAGACCTGGAACTAGAGGTCTGGAATCCCTTACTCAAGAGGCTGGGCAAAGGGTTCTGGCATTAGGGCCTCCCTGAGCTTTATATAATGAGTTCAAGTCCTATGCAACTTAACAAGGCCCTATTTAGAGGAAGAGCTGTAGCTCAGATGGTAGAGTGCTTGCCTAGAATTGAAAGTTCCTAGTACTGAAACCAAACCAAACCATGGATTCCTTGAGTTCATGAATTCAAGGCCAATCTGGACAACATAGCAAGACCCTGTTTCAGAAGAAGGAAAAGAAGGGAGGAAGGGCAATTGTTCTTACCCCTTCTCCACTCACCTTTCACATCCAATCCTGTACTGCGCCTGACAGTTCTGCCCACAATGTCCCTCCTACCCATGAATCTTGACCAAGACCTTTTCAAAGCCAGTATTGTATCTTCTTACATTTCTTCCAATACGGACTTACACATCTGCCTAGACAGCTTTGTGTTGCCAAAGATTTCTCCCCATGATCTCACTGGGCTCTCAGTTTGATTGATAATTTTACTGGTGAGAAAACTGAGACCAAATACGTGATCTAATATACCAAGGTTGTGGTCTAGCCTGGACTCGCTATCACCTCTCCCCCATTTCATATTCTAGTATGCCCAACTTCCTGTACTTCCTTAAGTATAAACTAATGTTCCTTTATAGGCCTTTCAAAATCTCCTTTTTCTACTTGGAATTATTTTTCTTCTTTTTCTAGCCGATTTCTACTTACATTTCAGGGATGAGCTTGGGTTTTACCTCTAGTCTTCCCTGGCCCTGTTCCTTTCCTGTGTGCTCCAAGTCTTGAGCTGTGCTGCTGTTGGCTTGACTTCTCTCTCTTAGCCTGGTTCTGAGAAAACTAGAGAGGCTCTGGGGACTAGCCATAGTAAGTGCTCAGTAAATAATAGTTGGCTAGAGGCATGAAAGATCAGACGAGATTTTCTCGTCACTCGGGCAGAACAAGGACCATCACTCAGGGTTTCTGCTTCCTTTTGTCCTGGAAACCTGAGCTTCCTTTGAGTTACATTTAGTTCATTCAGTTAGACAAATGTTTGGGGATTCTTCTCTGGCGAAGGTGAGCTCAAGCCCTGTTCCTTTCAGACGTGCATGTACCAGAGAGGGGGCCTCCCAATTAGTTGGATGGAGGAGGGAACTTACATCCGGGTCACGCAGAGATGGCATTCATTTTCATATGTCACCCCATCCGTGCCACAGATCGGTTTAGGTGTCTTGGGGCACTTTGGAGACTCTCCCATGTGCTCACAGATGGGCTGTGGAAAACAGAAGTAGTGGGGAGATTCAGAGGGAGTGGTCAGGGGCCCAGGTCTCTGCTTGGAATGTGAAATCAACTATTCAGGACTCTGGTATGTTTGCTTGTGTGAGTGCATGTGGCTGGATGTGTACATACATTGGAGCCTATGTCTGTTGAACCCTGGTCACGTGTGGCATCCTGCTTAGTCTCGTGTGTGTGTGTGTGCTTGTAGAAAGTTTGTGCCTTCAAGCCCCTGGGGATTGGTTCACATACTCTTTAGTGAATGCATCTAGAAATTCTGCTGCTGGTCCGTTGTAAGCCTAGTAAACAGCCATCCATCATTCCTAGGGAATGTCTTATATCCTATGGGCTCTTTTACTCACCAATACCAATATGGTCTTTTTTGTGTACATGTATGTGGTGGTGGGGCTACATGTATGCAGAAGCCATTAAACATTGGATGTTGCTCCTTAGGAGCCACTCACCTGATTCATTTGGGACAGGTTCTCTCATGGCCTGGAACTCATCAAGGAGGCTAGGCCAACTAACTGTCTAGCAAGCCCTAGGGATGCCCCTATCTCCACTTCACAAGTACAGGGACTATATGGGTGCTGGGGATCAAACTTGGGTCTTCACATTTGCAAGGCAAGCATTTACTGGCAGAGCTCTCCCAACCCCCTTCATGGTCATGTAGGCCCTTGTGGGAAGGCTGAAGGGATGGTGCAGGGATTTTAGCTTAATTGGTTTCAGACTGAAAGGTTCCCGGGCTGAGAGAGAACACAGTTAAGACTGGGGTTGGAGCCTGGGTGAAGGAGAAGGTGAGGGAGGCATAGTGGCACACACCTGCCATCCCAGCAGTTGGAAGGTGGAGGCAGGAGGATCAGAAGCTCAAGCTTATCAACTCAACCAGTAGAAAATCAGCCAGTGCTACACAAGGCAACTAAAGTCTACAGTCTGGAGACCCCAGTTCAGCCACTGACTTGCTCTGTAAATTTAGGCAAATTAGTTCATTCTCCGGGCCCCAGTTTTCTCCTCAGTGAAAAGGGTGGATAATGGTGTCCCTCTCAATGCAGGATTAGCTGGAGTCATGTATATAAAGTATTTGGCTCTTGGTACCAAATAAGTGGGGCTGGGTTCCGAGGGACTAATGAATATGGAAGAAGCTGCTTGGGAAGGTGGCTCTGAGGGCCCTGCAGATGCCCTGTCTCCGAGGGTCTGAGGCCAAGTCAGGCAAGGCAGCGGACGAATGATGAGCTGTGCTTCGGAAAGGCCGGCAGGCTCCACAGGGCCATTCGCTGAGCTGGGGACACCTCTGGCCTAATACCTGTAGCTTCTCTTGTGCTACACAAAGTACAGCAGGCCAGTGTCCTGCTCTGCTGTGGGGGAGTATCCGCCGAGGAAAAGACCTTGGAGACCAGGTCGGGGCAGATCCTAAGGGCCGAACTTGGGCCTGCTCAATCTGGAGGGGGTATTCTGAGGAGAGTGTGGGTTCGGGAGGTCACCTTTGCCCCCTTGGTACCATCGAAGGTGTCAGCGGAAGGGTGGATGTATAGAATGCATGATGGGACTCCTGCAGAGGGATGACCTTACCATTCTCAAGAAGACAATCCTTCCTGCTGCCACCTGCACCTCTGAAAGACAAAAAAGAGCAACAGGACACTGTCAGCTCTGGCTGCTGGGCCAGAGTCTGGGGACTCTGTCTCCTGTCCTGGTAGTGCCTGGGTCAGGTGCCCCAAAAGTCTAGAATTAGGGGGTGACAACCCAACCTGCTTCTAATTACTCAGATCCCAGTGGAATTTTTCTGTCCCATCAAATAATAATAATATTAAAAAAAAACCCAGCAGTTGGTTATGTGCCAGTCATGGAGAATACATGTTTTTTGGTGCTCTCCACGCCTCCCACCATTCTGTAACAGAAGGGAGAGTGGACGTAGTAAATGCTGTGTCTGCTACCTAGAGTCCAGCACAGGACCAAGGCACCAGCCCCAGCTGCCAGGAGTGCTGACTTCACCACCAGCCCATTCTTGGGAATCACCTTTGGGGGAGGGAGCCGCCTCCCTCAAGCTTGCCTCCTGTGCCGTGGATATCCCCTCACTATGGTGTGGCTGCAAGATCTCAGCCCTCGTGTCTCTGGAACAGGTCTAGGTGCCACCCTGCTCCGGAGCTTCTCGCAGGGCCACCTGACACTCGGGTTACACTCAGCCAACTTCCTTGCTCCCAGTAGGTAGCAACTCCCACACTTCCCATAAATGCATTCAGACTCGGGTCTGTCTGCTGGAACACCTGACTGACTTATGAAAGGCTCAGAGGGCTTGAATGATAACAGTTGGATACGGCAGAGCTAGGATTAACACACAGGTTCGCCACCCCAAGCCTGACTCCCTACCAAACAGTCGTAGCCCTCAAGGTTTGGCTGAGCCACTTATAGGACATGAGGAAAGCGGTGGAACCATGGGCATAGCTGGTGGGCAAGAGAATTTGAGCCATGTTTAAGGCACAGGTAGGAAGAAGAATGACTGTGGGAGCTGGAGAAGGAATGGATGCTTCCAGATGCCTCAGAAGGGCTGCTCAGGGCCTGATGGAGAGATGGGCTCTTTCTACCCTCCCGTAGCAGAACCCATCAGTGGCAGAGGCTGCAGGGAAACGAACTATGATTCCGGATGGAGCGGAGAAGCTGTGTTATTGTAAAGGAAGCTGTCTCCAGCACTGGAGTTCCACAGCTACTGCAAGGTTAGTGGACTTGACTTTTTCTTGGAGATTTCCCCAGACACAGAGGAAAAAAGGGACTGAAACTAAGTCACCTCTAGTGTGCTTTGCCAGTCTGGCAATGGAGGCTCAAACGTAAACCTAGCCTTGCCACCATGCTGCTCAGAGTCTTCTGTGTCGTACCTGTCATAACCAAGAATGGCCTAAACGCCCTCCCACAGGAGAACAGATAAAGAGTGAACTTGTCTACGGTGGAGCACTACTCAGCAAGAGGACAAGCACACTTGAGGCAGCTCAGGAGGATTAGCACAAGTCTGAGGCCAGCCTGGACCATGGAGTGAGTTCCAGGTCATTCTGGCTGCGGAGTAAGACCCTGTCTCAAACAACACACAAGCAAACAGCACAAAAGCAATTAACGAGTGTAGTGTGTATATTAATTACTTCTTGTTGCTGTGATAAAGCATCATGGCCAAAAGCAAAAGAAAGACTCTATTTTGTCTTACGGCTCCCGGGGGATAAGAGTCTGTCATGGAGAGGAGGCATGGCAGCCATCTGTAGGCATGGCGGCTGGAGCAGAAGCTGAGAGCTCACCTCCTCAACCACAGGCACGAAGACTGTGAACACTCAGAGCTCACCTCCGGCGATGGACTTCATTCCTCAAGGCCCCAGAGCACAAAGGTTCTATAGCCTTCCCAAACAGCACCCCAGCTTGGGGAATAAGTGTTCTAATGCCTGAGCCTGCGGGGAACATTCCCGTTCAAGCTACTGTAGTGAGAACACCTGTAATCCCAGTACTCAAAGAAACTTAGGGCAGCCTAGACTACATAAAGAGATGCTGCCTGAAAACTCAGAAAGCAGGCAAGGCTGGAGAGATGGCTCAGAGCACATACTACTCTATGTGTGTGCTGAGTTCTGATCCCTGCACCCGTGCCGAACATCTCATAACTGCCTGTAACTCCAGCTCCAGGGTATCTAGTGCCCTTTTCTGGGCTCCCCAGGAGCCTACACTCATATATACGTACCCCACACAAACACACGTGCAAATGCAGAACTTTAAAAAGTAAAATATGTTTAAAACATTAACAGCAACAATGAAGGCACCTGATAGACAAACTACAAAAATAATTTAGCTGAGCAGAGGAAACGGGCACAGAAGACTCCCTGGAGTGGAATGCCCTCCATGCCACATTGACACAGAACAGAAGACTCCCTGGAGTGGAATGCCACAGATCTGGCAGTGTGTGACACAGGCCGGGGTGACAAGGAGGTGTGTGTGATTGCCTCTGAGACAAGGAAGGACCAGGGTGCAGGAGAGAAATTTCCCTATCTTGTTTATTTGGTTGTTGTTGAGACAAGGTTTTGCTGTGTAGCCTTGACTGGCCTGGGGCTTGCTATGTAGCTCTGGCTGGCCTCAAACTTGTATTCACCTGCTTCTGCCTCAAGTTCTGGGATCACAGGAGTGCACCTTCTCGCCTAGCTGTGCTCTGTATCTCTATAGAGGTCTGGGAGACATAGTGTGTGCATTGTTGGAGCTCATTCATAAACTTTCCTGAGTGAAAATGCTACATGTTTCATGGCCTTGTATTAGGAGAAAAGTGTCTACAAAGACCGAGTGAGTGTGAGGGTGGAGGCCTATAATCCCAGCACTGGGAGGTTGAGGCAAAACGGTCAAAAATTCAAGGTCTACACAACAAAACCAAAATCTCAAACATTTAAAAGGCAGAACGACCTCCCCTGGCGGCTCCCAACACTGTCCAGTTTCCCTCTGGACCAGCATTCCATGGTCACATGTTTGAACTGAGCCCCAGTCTTGCTCCTTGGGCTTGCTATCTGATATATCTACATCCTCCAAGGCCGCAGGACCCAATGGTTCCTCTCTGCTCGCCGTCCTGGAACAAGGGCTTCTCTGCTTCTTGCGGATCCACTGTCTCAGCTGTCTCCACTCCCACTCTCCCCATCCTTCAAGGCTCAGAAGCTTTCCTTCCCATCCCCACAGTTCACGGAGAAAACTGGATCTGAGCGGTGCCGCTAAGTCGAGTGCTGTCGCAGGGGTCACCCCGCCTCCCTACGAACCCAGGCTTCTGGGGCTCCTGCGCACTCCTTGGTGCCCCATCCAGAGATTATTCAGGAATTGAGCACTGAAGAGTGTTGAGGGAAAGGAGAGTACAGAACCCTACAGGGTCAGAATTTCTTCCTGGGGTTGTGAAGGGTTGTATTTAACCCAGGCATCCCTTGCCCTTCACCCAGGCGAATCCTTCATTCAACCGGAATCTGAAATGTTTACAAGGACCTTCAAAGCAGGCTGCTTAATGTTCCTAATGGAGGGGGTGCTGGGGAATGGGGAACAGGCAGGGGAGGGGTGGGGCGGGAGGGAGTAAGCATCTGACCAGAGTCTGCAGGACTATCCTTGTTGACCCAGCTGCCAGATCTGTGACTTAACAGGAGGGAGTGGGCATGGAGTCCAGGCCCCTGAGGTCCTGCCAGGCCCCGCTTTATAACATTATGGCTCCTGTCTAGGGAGTCCCAGTGGGTCTCTGCTTCCCTGTTCTGCTTATTCTCAATTTACAAACGAGAGCATTCTTTCCATGTCTGACTCCGCTGCAGCTCTGGCTCCCACTCTCCGAGCACAAGGTTCTCACGTTAATTCCTTTGCCTGACATAGTTCCCAGCTGCTTCCCTCCCCTCCCCTGCCCTCCTCTCCTCCGCTTTCATTCTGTACCATGCTCTTCGCTCCCTCAATCCGCTCAGTACCCCAAACATTCCAGACATGCTTTTCCAGCGGGGCCCTTGGATTGGCTGCTCCCTCCATCGGACCGTTCTTGTCTAAAACATCTTCACTCCCTTACCTTCTTCAAGCTTTCCTCCAACCCGGACTTCCCTAAGAGACCTCCTCCGATTTAAAATTGCAGCTCCCTCCTAATCCCATCGCCCAGCTTCATATTTCTTAGCCTTTGTCATGTTCTTATGTGCTATGTATGGTCAATTCCCCTCCTCAATCCCGCTAGGTTTAAGCCCTGTTGGGATGGTACCGTTTCTTGTTTTGGTCCCTCGTGTGTTAAAAGGCTAGAAAAGTATCTGGGACAGGAGCTTTGAGACTGCTGAGGTGCTACAGGCCTGAGGAAGCTCACCTCTGCTGTCTAGCCACCCAAGGGCTCCCTCCACATGATTAAATGGTTGTCCTGGGTCCCATACTATACCTTATCAAAGCAGATCAGGAACCTGACGGGGTGCAGGCCAAGTCTCTCTTAGCACTCGCCACCCCACAGCCAACCTGAGACCTGATCGCACCTTCTGTCTGCCCAGGTCATAATTTCTCAATGCAGCTTTGAACTGGAAGAGCATCCTACCTCACAGTGCCAAGGGACGAGGACTTGGCAGTTTGGGTTCGGGACTGAACTGGTTTCTTTTCTCTCAGTCTGTGTTTTGCCTACTGTAGCAGATGAATGCCAAAGAAAGAGTTACTCAGCAAGCCCAGGCTCACAGGAAGCTCCAGATCTTGCTTCTGTCCCCACACCCAAGCTCACCTACTAAGACCAAGCTTCAGAGAAACCAGGTTCTGCCCACTTACCCCCGTCCATGGCAAGGAAGGCAGCCAAGGTCAGGGTGACCATCCACAGGTGCATAGCCATGCTGCTTGTGACCATGACCTCAGCCAACTACGGCCTGGGCCAAGAGCGAGGCTGGGGCCTATTTATTGCACTGATCTCCACCCTTATCTTATCTGGGGCCAGTTGGCAGCCAGAGTGTCACCCCAAGTTAATCTCTTCATCCTGACACCTGGAAAAGGCTTGTTCAAGGCATGACGCCGGCTTTGTAGTGACATGGTGCTGGGGCCAGGGCCAGGGCTAGAACTGGGCTGGTTTCCAGGGCGTGCAAAGGTTTGGACGGTTTGCAAAGCTGACTCCATTTATCGGTTAAAGCAAGGGGAAGGCGTGGAAGTAGAGAGAAACACAGAACAAGGCAGAGATGGGGGGAGGGAGGTTGAGAAGTATGTGGGGGGGCACCAGGAGACAAACACTAGGAAAGAGAGTCATGGTGGCTTTGCCAGCGCCACCTCTGCCAAATCTGTGACGTCAGAAAAGCCACTTTGCTTACTTGGACCTCGGTTGCGTGTTTATTTGTTTTTGGTGCTGAGGTTTGCCTCATGAGTCTGGGCAAATGCTTTTCTGCTGATAAATCCCCAGCCCTCTTTTCCCTCTTTGAGACAGGGTTCCACTTGGTTGCTTAGTCTGACCTCAAACTTGCTCTGTAGACCAGGCAAGCCTTGAACTTGAATTTTCTGCCTCATCTTTCCACGTAGTACTGCCAGGGCTGTCCAGCTGGGTCTCAGTTTACCCATGCACGAGACAGAGATGGTGAGTCTGGCTCTGCCTACTTCCCAGGGCTGCGTTGAGGTCAGTGCTGTTGACAGCACACAGGGATGCCAAGTATGGAAAAAGGGAAATGTAAGTAGAATTGATTTTAAAAACTTTTTAAAAGAGATTTTTAAAAAAGATGTATTTATATTTCATGTGTATGAGTGTTTGCCTATGTATATGTGTGTGCACCATGTGTTTGTATGGGGCCTCAGAGATCAGAAAAAGCCTGGCAGTGAGGTAATGCATACCTTTAGTCCAAGCGCTTGGGAGAGAGAGGCAGGCGGATCTCTGACTTGAGGGCAGCCTACTCTACAAGAGCTGGTTCCAGGACAGTTAGGGCTACACAGAGAAAAACCAAAACCAAACCAAATCAAAACAACAACAAAAAAAGGATGTTGGATCCCCTGCAGCCGGAGTTAAGGATGGTTGTGAAACACTGTATGGGTGCAGGGAACCAAACCCAGGTTCTTTGCACGAGCTGCAAGTGCTCTTAACCTCTGACCCATTTCTCTAGCCCCAGAAACTTACTTTTGTTTTTTAAAAAATATTTTTAATGTTTTTTTTCCCTTTAGGTATGTGTGCCTGTGTGTGGGTGTGTCTCTGTGTGTCAATGTGTGTGTATGTCTGCATGTGGGTGTGTGGGTGTGTGTATGCGTGTCAGTATGTGTGTATCTGTATGTGTGTGTGTGTGTGTGTGTGTGTGTGTGTGTGTATGCATGAATGCAGGTGTTTGTAGAGCTCAGAGGAGGGCATCAGATCCACTAGTGTGAGTTACAGGTGACTGAGTCATTTGATATGGGTGCTGGGACTGAACTTGCAAAAGCAGTATATGCTCTTAACTAATGAGCCTTCCACCTCCATCCTCTTTTTTGGTACCACAAAGTGGGTACAACTAACACATATATATATATATATATTAATTATGGCATGCTGGAGAGATGGCTCAGTGGTTAAGAACACTGACTGCTCTTGCAGAGGACCTGGGCTCGATTCCCAGCATCTGCAGGGTGATTCACAAGCATCACTCTAGTGATGCAGGGGATTGAAGCTCTTTTCTGACTTCCTCGAACACCAGTTATGCACATGGTGCACATGCAGGCAAAACATTCATACACAAAATAAACACATCCACAAAATGAAATAAATTACAGCAGGCTCACATACTCTAAACTCAGCCCCATACCTTGTAACCTCCTTTCAATAGAACATAAGAGAGACATGCCAACCTGGCTGCGGTGGCATACACCTGCAACCTCAGTACTCAGGAGGCTGAGGCAGGAGGATTGCTTCCAGGTGCTCAAGACTGGCTGGGACTACACCTGAGACTCTATCTCAGAGAATCAAAAATACTGTTGAGATGGCTCAGCAGAGAGAGGGCGGGCTCCTGAAAACTGTCCTCTGACCCCCACATATACTATTGTTGTAAGGAGGCCGTTTGTTTGTTTACTGGATGCCAAGCCCCAAAATAATTACACAGAAACTATATTATATTAACCACTGCTTGGACCATTAGCTCTAGCTTCTTTTTTTTTAAGATTTATTTATTTATTATGTATACAACATTCATTTCATGTATGCTTGCATGCCAGAAGAGGGCACCAGATCTCACCATAGATGGCTGTGAGCCACCATGTGGTTGCCGGGAATTGAACTCAGGACCTCTGGAAGAGCAGTCAGTACTCTTAACCTCTGAGCCATCTCTCCAGCCCTAGCTCTAGCTTCTTACTGGCTAACTCTTCTATCTTAATTTAACTCATTTCTAGTAATCTGTGTATCGCCACAAGGCTGTGGCTTACCAGGTAAAGTTCCAGGGTCTGTGTATACATGTGTGTGTGTGTGTGTGTGTGTGTGTGTATGTTTGTGTATAGGGGGCTACATGGCTTCTCTCTGACTCTGCCTCCTTTCTCCCAGCATTCAGTTTAGTTTTCCAGGCCTACCTAAGTTCTGCCCTGTCTGTCATTGTCCCACATCAGAGGAAGAAAGGAACAGAGGGGACATAGGAATTTGTCTCTTCCTCATTTTGAACTTCAGACTTCTATCAGTGTGGGGGATGCTGTCATTTTTGTGTTAGGATATGATTACAAGCCTTTTGGGACCAGGGAGTAGAATGTGGTGGTTTGAAAGAAAATGCTCCCCAAAGGGAGTGGCACTATTAGAAGGTGTGGCTCTGTGGAGTAGGTGTGGTCTTGTTGGAAAGTGTGTCACTGTGGAGGTGGGCTTTGAGGTCTCACATATACTCAAGATACTGCCCAGTGTCACAGCCCACTCCCTGTTGCCTTCTGGTCAAGAAGTAGCCAGCACCATGTCTGCCTGCATACGGCTATGGTCCCGCCATGATGATAACCTGAACCTCTGAACTGTAAGCGGCCACCTCAAATGTTTTCCTTTATAAATGCTGCTGCGAACATGGTGTCTCTTCCCAGCAATAGAAACCCTAAGACGCTACCAATGACTCTACTTGCTGCAAGGAAGCAGGAACCTGGAACTGTGCATCCTTCCAAGGACATGGCGGAGCAGCCCACGTCACGCTGAGTCCTCTACCATCCTATCTGCCTGTCATTGTATGGCGCCCATGATGGTCAATCCATCTAAATGAACCTCATTCACGAATGCACAGCCCATCTGTTAATATGTGTTTAACAAGCAGCTCAATGATGAAAGCATCAATGCATCTGGGAATAACGGCTGTAGTCCCCCTTCCGGCCTAGGAAGCTTGCGGTTCAGCGGGGTGGCAGGTTCTAACTGTAATGGTACTTTCTCCTTGGGACCACAAGTTCAATGCAGAGACTTTTATTAGTTATGAAAGCTCGGTCTTCAGCTTAGGCTCATCTTCAACTAGCTCTTGCACCTTAAATGAACCCATTTATATTAATTTATGTTCTGTTACATGGCATTGCTGTTCTTCCATCTTGTACCTCCCGTTTCCTCTCCAGCTGGCCAGTGACTCCACCCTTCTGCTTCCCAGAGTCCTTTCTATCCCTGCAAGTCCCACCTACCTTCTTTTTGCCTAGCTATTGGCCAGGCATCTCTTTATTGAATCAATCAGAAGAGACCTTGGCAAAGACACATCTTCACAGGGTAAACACACATTCCACAGCATCTAGTCAAGCAGCAGAACTGTATAGTCACCATCTCAGCAGACCCTATAAATGAGACACCCTGGTGTCATATGAGAGAAATGAAGATGGGCCTCTCTATGGGGATGGGTCAAGAAAGCCCAGGGGTAAGGCAGACTGTAACCTCCTGGAATGATGCTGCGGACTGAGGAAACAATGTGAGAGACTGCCCTGTTCTAACAAAGACTAGAAAAGTCCTGGAGCTGGGTAAGGTCAGTGAGCTGAGAATGTTTGTGGGATGAGCCTGGGACAGGCCCTGGGGTCAACCCTATCTTGATTTCCCATGCCCACCCCATGCTCTAGTGACATCCGACAATGGGATCTCATAAACTAACCTTCACCCTTGTTTGCCTTACCCCTGAGTGTGTGTGTCTGCGTCCAAAATATTTCTGGTTTGCTTTTAGACAGGGTCTTCTATAGCACAGGCTAGCCTCAGACACACTATATAGACAAAGCTGACCTTGAACTGCTGATCTTCCGTCCTCTGCCTCTCAGGTGCTCTGATGACAGGTATGAGCTGCCATGGCCAATGGTCCTGAAGCGCGGTTGAACCCACCCCCCTCCTCCAAGCCCACTGGTGTAGCCCAGCCTGCTATACTGTCTGCATCCCAGTTGTTGCGGCAGGGCCTTCAGTACCTTGGCTCCCATCCGCCACTCCAAACTCCTCTGAGTAAAGTGACCTAGATAAACCACTAAAAAGGTGACTGGTTTGCCTTAGCCCAAAATGCTGCAGAGTTGCATTTGGTTCCGACATTCAAGGCCTTTCAAAATCTAACCCCATCCAGGTTTCCTCACTGTTCACAAGACTTGAATTCCTTTAACTTGCATAACTTTAGCTCAACTGTATCCCCTGTGGAATGTATCCCCCACCCTCTTCTGTGTGCAGGAGCGCAGGAGTGTCCTGAGGATCATTAGATCCAGGTCCTTGAACACTGTGTGAGTGTTCCCCATTGAGTCACCCCGCTAGCCCTACGCCCTGTGTGATCTCGGATGATGCTGCCCACTCTCCACTGCAATCCCAACCCTTCAGAGCAAGCCCTAGAAGCTCTTCTGAAACCTTCCGAGTGCCCCTTGTCAACCTGGCATTGCGGTCACTGGCCGCCCCCAGTGCCCTGCTCCCATGGCTCCGTCTCCCTCGTGCTCTGATGATGTTGGCATGTCTGCTTTGCTGACAGCTTTGAGATCCCTGAGATACAGGGTGATACTTCATTT